ATGGATGTTTATAATATATTTAATTATATTTATCTGCAGTTGTATAAGTTGTACTTACGTAAAATTACGTATAATCTTGAATTTTAAGTAATATGCATCAATAAATAGTACTTCATGCATAAAAAAATAGTTTTTAAAAGTTTTTGTCAGATGTTTTATAATATAGTATAAATATGCGTAATTATTAATAATTTACTCTAAAAATTATGGCACAGATGAGATGTTTTGATGGACATTTTAAAAATAATCAAAATAAATTAGTTATAGAACATTTTTTAACGTACTTTTGTTATTTGAATTTATAATAATCAAAAAATAAATTATTTGAAAATTTGATTATGTAAATTGACTAAAAGAGACATTTTTGTGGAAAAAAAATAAGTCGGTGTTGTGAAACGGGTTATAAAAGTCTTTAATTTCGGTTGATGAAAACGACAAATATGTGTAATTTTATTTTTTTAGTTGATAATCAGTTTGTTATAGTTGGTATCAGTATAAAACTAATTATTTAAAACTGTCTATTTGACATCTAAATATAAAAGGAAAATATATTTATCATTGATTCTTTTAAATTAAAATCGTAACAATCAGTAATGAGCTTTAAAACACGAATACAAATACAGATATAAGAAGATGAGACTATATTTTACACTTAGGGTTGTTTGTTTACCTCTTAATAGTTCCATTAAGAGGCAATCTCTGAATCGTTAAGAGGTGAATCTTGTTTGGCAAAAAAAAAAAGTCTGCCTCTTAATGGTTCTAAAATCATCTGAATAATTTTGTATCATGGGCCTCCCTTAACCATTAAGAGCCCTAATTTCATTGTAAACAATTATCAAACAATTATATTTCATTTTGCACTATATCATGAGAGCCCCTTAATCATTCTTACCACTTAATGATTATGCACGAAACCATTCATCAACTGACAAACAGCCCCTTAATTAGGGGTGGACTTGGTACGATACCAAGTTTTTTTTTTCTTCTCAAATACCATGTAGCAACCAATTATAATTGATACGTAAAATTTTATATCATGTACCAACCAATCGTACTTGGTACCATTATTTTCGGCTGGAATATTGGTACCGGTTTTATACCAACTTCAAATTACATATATGAAAACTTGCAACTTCGTTCAAGATTTGAGTGACATTTTAAGATTTTATGTAACACATGCCATGTTTAAGAGATTTTTGTAATTGCAAGGAATAAAACTTGCAAACATTCAAATGTTATCAAAACAAAAAGTTAAAGTCACGTTATTTAATATTCAATGAATCAAACATACAAAAATTAATAAATAATTAAATAAGTCGGTACCATGGTATATCGTGGTACAAGACTTCCGGTACCATGTACCAACCAAGGTTTCATACTTAGTTAGGCACTACCAACTGGTTGCGGTTGCTGTCGATTATATTGTTACTCATGTTGGTCGGTTTGGTTTGGTTTGGTTTGGTATATTACCACTCCTAACATTAATTATGAGATAAATAAAGGTTGTCTCTCTATTATCATATATGGTCTAAGAATGTCATTTAGCTATGCTTGGCAAACTACTGATAAGTCATCTGGTAGCTAATAAGCTAGATGTTGGCTGATAAACTAGCTGATAAGCATATAAAATGACCAAAAAAATCATCTTAAAAAATAATCAATTACAATATTTTATAATATAATTGAAATAGATCTCAGATAATATAATATCTTAATTAATAGAAAAAAGAATGGTAAAAAAACAAATTAAATAATATGATTTATTGATTAAAATAATTTTATATATATATATATATATATATATATATATATAAGGGCCTAATCAAATGAGAACTAATTAGTTTGTGATAACTGTGAGAACCAATATTAACCACAAATCAATAGATAAATTAGGAAATTTATAATTTTGGCAATTTTGAATTAAAATTTTAATGCAAGGATATTTTTGGTATTTTACAACTTTCCTCCCTCTTCTCTTCTCTCTCCGGCCACCGTCCTCCGGTG